GGTTGTTTCCATATCTATATATAGATGATGTATTATAGAATTGTACACTTGAAGCCTATGTAATTTTACTAGTCATTGTCACCCCAATAAATTGGATTAAAAAAGAAAACAAACAAACAAAAAACCTCCATTGATAAAATTATTCACTGTTGTTTAAGTTATTATAGATAAAAACTGGAAACCAGCTATCCTTTAAAATTGAGTATAAAATTTCAGGTAAATTGTGGTATATAATCACATAGCAGTATTATAACCTTTAAAAATGTTTCTGAAATGCTTGTTGAAACATAAAATATCTAGGATATTATGTGTTTTAGTTAGCTCTTGTTGCATCAAAAGCTGCTCCAAATGTTAACAGTGTAAAATAATAATCATTTGATGATATTCACAGATTCTGTGGGCCATGATTTAGGCAGGCTAAGGCGAGGTGGGGATATTATATCTATGATGCCTGGGGCCTTATTTGGGAATGCTTAATTGGCTGGGGGTTAGAATCCTTTGGAGGCTTCTTTACTCACATACCTGAGCTAGAATGATGCAAAGGCTGAGTTCAGTTGGGACTCTCAATGGTGGCTTCTTCAGGAGGCTTGGGTTTCCTCATAGTATGATGATCTTTTTTACATAGTGGCTCAGGGCTTGAAAAAGCCTGGCAATTAATTTGAAAATGGGATGGAAGCCATATTTCTGCTTCTTTGGTGTTATTGTAATGGGGACTCTGCTTTATTTTGTTTTGTTTTGTTTTGAAAGCAACATTCCAATGTCCAGTCACAAGCTTGCTGTTGTCAAGAGCCAGTTGTAGATTCCTGATCTTATAACAATATGCTCTTCAGTTCAACAATTGATTGGCAGCAGTCTTCCAATTCCTTGTTTCTAACAGTAGCAAGGGTATCTGCCCCTCTGATCTGCCTGATTGGTGGCCTTATTCTGAAAGTCATACCTATAGGCAGCGTTTAGAGTTTGCTTAGAGTTTACGCCTCCAACTTTTCAGTGGTTTGATAAGCACCTACTTTCTTGCATTAAACCAGTTCCTGCATAACATAACTAGAACACTTTCTGTTACTACAACTGCTCCCTGATTACAATGGTTTTTTAGTCCAGGTGTGGAGTTCTACGCCATATAGAGAAAATACAACACTGTTAAAAATTCAGTCTTAAAACAATAAGCAGATTAAAGCAAAAGGGAAATAGTTATTCTTTAATTTACCAAAAGATTCCCAAAGTTTAAACATTTACAAGCTGCTTTAAATTAGCTGATTCTCTTGTGTCTTTAAACGAAGATTTGATTTAGTGTATTTATTGTATAAATTAAGGTACAACAATGATTTACTGAAAACTGGCTTATTGAATACAATTGAAATTATTTTTAACATAGTCCTTGCCAAAACTATATAGAAGATAAATGAAGATTTAATACTTCATAAACTCGTTTTGTTAAACTTTTCAATATATACAACTCTTAGAAAGTGAAAAGTAGTATTATGCCTATGCCACAGAGGGTGATTCTATGGTTAAATAATTGTTGAACATAATGCTAAGTCAAAATAAGCAATGGATTTAAAAACAAATTGAAAATAAATAAAACAAAGGCTACATTTAACCGTATAAAATATAGCCAATATTAAACAATTGATTAAAATGTTTGAAAACCCACATTACTTTACCTTTGCTTACTTTCATAGTTAAGAGATAAGTTTTTCCTCTCTCTCCCTTCTTAATCATTGGTTATGTAACCGTAGTTGGAGGATAAGTTGGTTTTTTTATTGATTTAATGTTGGTTGTTTTCTTGATAAATTTGTTTAAACAGGAAAATAATTTATTACAGGATATAAGGCAGCTCAATATCTCAGGGAGAACCTGTGAGGTATACTCAGAAGCTTTGCAGCCAGAGACAATGTCCAACTGCAGTGGATCTGAGTTCTTTTTAGTTAAGACACCACTGTCAGTGGCTCAGCATTGATGATGCTGGGGCCCAAATGCTAGGAGCTACGCTACTGCTCACTTGCTACAGCAGGATATCGCACAAGGTTTATGTAATTTTTAATTTGTTTTTATTTCAGTGTTTTGACTGTCAAACAAGAAGTAGGTTATATAATATTTCTGTACTCTTTTTTTGCTGACAATTTTGAGCTTTTAAGTTCTTATTTTTAGGAAATTTTTCTGAAGAATTTTAAGCTGAAGACCCAAAGGGACTGAATCACAGACTTCCCCTTGAAGTCAGCTTAATTTTTATTCTAGGTCTTAATTTGATTTTTCTATAGCAAAATTTTCATGGCTATGATTTTGTTGTCAAAGCTAAAATGCATTGAATGAGTACAGGTTTACAGA